AGAGAACTTGACATCAGTAATGAGACGTAGGTTGTGGAAATGACTAGGTTATAGTTATGAATATTGAAAAAGACGGCTCATGGTTCCAGAGTGGAGATACTTGTTTAGCTATTGCACATGAAGTACTGCCATCAGCATCCCCTTTATGTCAGATTCCCATTCATTCCATCAACCTTTTGTTTGGACTTAGTATTTGATAGCTACAATTAGGAACCCAAAAATAATGATCCTTGTTTCAAAGCTTCACATCAACTAATAAGTGGTATTAGTATCTATATCTATTTCTGTGTCTATTTGTCTGTGTTTAATCTCTGTGTGTGTGTCTCTCTCTCCATAATATGTGAGAGAACTGTATGTTAATAAATACTGACTTTATAATCATTCAAAGTATGTATACATTTTTTGGGACTCCCATATATATATATATACACAGGGTATCCCAAAAAATGTATACACACTTTAACAGCTAATAGCTCAATTTTGAAAATGAATTTTAATAAACACTGCCTTTATAATTATTCAAAGTGTGTGTATATACATTCTTTTGGGACACCCTATATATTGCTTTTTAATAGATGTATTATGAGAAGAGTATGATAAGAGCACAGAGGGAGGCAAAACTGACTGCCTGGTGGGAGCGGGGAGGTCTGTTATGAGCAGGGTTGTTTTTGAGTTAGAAATGGGAATTTTCCAAATAGGGTAGATGGGTTGGTCAGCATCTCTGGAGAAGGAAAACCACAGCAGCAAAAAAGAAGATGAAATATTTTTGTAATGATGTGAATTCTGTTATGGTTGGAAAAGGGTGGGGCAAGGGCTGAGGCTGGTAAACAGGTTGGGGCCAGATTGTGAAGTGTCAGTAGAGATAAGGGAGACTTTGGAAAGCTTTAATTAGGGTGTGCCATGATCAGAACTTTATTTATTTATTTTTTTTAAAATATATTTTATTGATTTTTTACAGAGAGGAAGGGAGAGAGATAGAGAGTTAGAAACATCGATGAGAGAGACATCGACCAGCTGCCTCCTGCACATCTCCCACTGGGGATGTGCCCGCAACCCAGGTACATGCCCTTGACCGGAATCGAACTCGGGACCCTTCAGTCCGCAGGCCGACGCTCTATCCACTGAGCCAAACCGGTTTCGGCGATCAGAACTTTATAAAAACAATTCTGGTGACAGTGTGAAGGGGAGGGAATTGATGGGGGTGTCTGGTGACTAATGGGCTATGCGTCCTCTGTCTTCCAGCTTTCTCCTGTGCTTCTGGAGAGTATCTAGAGATGAAGAACCAGGTATGCAGTAAGTGTGGTGAAGGCACCTACTCCTTGGGCAGTGGCATCAAATTTGATGAATGGGATGAATTGCCAGCAGGATTTTCCAACGTTGCAACTTTCATGGACACTGTGCTTGGCCCTTCTGACACCAGGCCTGATGGCTGTAACAAGTAAGAACCCAAAGGACCCTTAGGATTTTGATTGAACCATTGAGAATGATGTAGTTGCTCTTTTCCAGAAAGAAGTTGAGGATAATCTTGGTATTGATTGGGATTATAGATAAACTAATTACAAATAAACATATTTTTTTTGGCTAGTCATTACAAATAATGTAGCTCAGTTTTATGAAGCTACAGTGGCAGAGTTAAAATAATTGTTCTCAGGACAGAATAGATACCATATGCAAAAATGTGATAACGCTATTAGAAAAACAAATTAATTTTCCAATATATTTATAACTACACTCAAGCCAGTGTATTTCTAAAAATGCTTCTCTAATTTTTAATAGATAATTTCAGATTTTTTTTCTCTTTCTCTGAAAGAATGTGTAGCCTTCATTTAGGCACTTGATTATTTTCTAATAGAGAGTGGGTTAAATATGTGAAGTGGAAAGCTCATTTGCTTAATTTCTGCCTCTTATAGGAAATTATTAGCTTTGCCTGTGACACCACTGGAGGACTTTGAAATTGTCTTGATAAAAAAACAACAACACCAAAATGTTTATCTGTGGTCTGTACCCACTTCCATTCCCTTGTATTGACTATGTGACATTTCTTTTCACATGGCCATGTTATTAAACATTAGTCCTCTGACTAACTTCTGACAAGAGTGGGTTTTCAGAAACTCACACATTTTACCATGAGCTAAAGATGCTGGGACTTATTTAGCTATGCTAAAAGATATGCTCCCTCGCTTCCCCTCCTACCTTCCCTGGATGTTTTATATAGATCTGGATGTTTATCTAGTATTATTTTCTCAGCCTATAATATTTCCTTTATTATTTTTGCAAATCCGCTGCTCAAAAATTCTCTCAGCTTTTGTTTACCTGAAATCTTTATTTTAGCATCATTTTTGAAGAATATTTTGTGGACATGGGATTCACTCATTGTGTTTATATTTTATTTAATGTTGATTATATTTGTAAGAGCTGTCTCAATTACTCACCTATTTCTTTGGACTCTCTTTTTTCTCAGTTAAGGATCATCTTTTCTCATTTCTTTGCCTGCCTAGTAAATTTTATTTTATCCTGAGCATTGTGAATATTAAGATATAGGAAAAGCAGATTAGTATTATTTTTTCATTTAAAAGGTGTTGAATTTTGTTCTGGCAGGCAATTTATCTACTGGAAGAGCACCTTGATCTCATTAGGTCTGATTTTATTTTATTTTTTGATGGCTCTGTATTTATTTCACACTTAGTTCTAGGTCATGGCCTTTGCTCTAGGGCAGGAGTTAGCAAAGTACAGCCGGTGAGCCCTCCCTCTGTTTTTGCAGATAAGGTTGTATTGGAACACAGAGGCACTCATTTGCTTATGCATTGTCTCTAGCTGCTTTGGAGCTACAGTGGCAGAGTTAATTAAGTATTGCCAGAGAGGCCAAATTGTCCACAAGCCACAAATATTTATTCCCTGGCCCTTTATGAAAAAGTTTGCTGACACCTGCTGTAGGGCATGGCCTCTATAAGATGTAGCAAATTCTGGAATCTTAAGTGGATGGCCAATAAGTGTATCAAGTTTCTTCCTTCCTGGCTGGTTTGCAGCTCCAGTGACTTCCATTAAAGTGACCTCTCTGATTATGTCTCAGCTTTGCATTGGCTGCGAGCCCCAAGCTCAGGACTTACAGAGAAACTCCATATGGGTTACTAGAGCCCCTATTTTCTCTGATTCTCAGGTGTATAAATTCCAGCTTTTTCAGCTGCCCCCGAGCACTTGTCTCTGCTCCTCAGCTCAGTGAGACCACCATGCTTTGCTTGGGTGCCACCTCCTGGTGTCATCATTTGCGAAGTGTCCTAAGGAATGAGGCCAAGGTCAATTTGGGCTTTACCGCATGTGTTTTGCTGCTCTCAGGCATCCCAGTCCTGCACTGCCTATTGTCAAGGCTCGAAATGGCTCCTGCATTCTGTTTAGTTTAATAGATGGTTAAAGAGAAAGGGCAGATCCAGTACCAGTTAGTCATGTTGGGATGTGGAAGTCTCAGTCTTTTGTTCAGAATTTATTTCTGTTAGAAAAAAGAAAAGAATTTAAAAATCTCACTCTTATCTAGATAAAAAGTTAAACCTGAAGAGAAGAATGTTAAGTTTTGTTATCTGTTGTACAGTTCAGTTGGAATTGTTTTTTTGCCCCAAAACTTGACACACGACTCATTGATTCTAAGAATTAACTTATGGTTAGATTGACAACCCAAATTCTGTTTACCAGTATATTTTCTTAAGTTTTTATTTTTTTTTTTTAGATAAAAATTCCAGACTTTTACCTCATTATATACTATGAAACTGCAATCTCTATTTTATTTAGATTCATTTTAAATGGGCTTTTTCTAGGACTATTTCTTCTCTCATATCAAGGAATCTTCTCACCTCCTGCCATGTGTATTTGTTAATAAATAAAATTTCAGATGTTGTTTGAGGGAATAATTCTACCCCAAACTAGTAGAATTAGTGATTGTCTCTTTAGTGATCAAAGTTTTGATGAAAAATAGCAGTTTCATAGCAAATTGATCTTACCAAGATTTAGGGAATTGTGTGCCATAAGCAATGACTCTTTTCCCAGTAATGGTGTTGGCTGTTGAATTCCAGAAAAGCTCTGGTCTTCTCTGCTGTGCCTTGCTGAAGGAACGACTTTTGAATCTGAGTCACATAGGAGGTTTCTGAATGCGGATGTAAGCTGCCCCTTGGTTTTGTTTCCACAGCTCTTCTTGGGTCCCTCGTGGAAATTACATAGAGTCAAATCGTGATGACTGCACCGTGTCTTTGATCTATGCTGTGCACCTTAAGAAGTCGGGTAATGTCTTCTTTGAGTACCAGTACGTCGACAACAACATCTTCTTTGAGTTCTTTGTAAGGCCTTTTATATTCTGAAATATACTTTTTATGGGACATTCATGTAATATTTACCTTAATCTGTTGTTTCCATTACACTTTATGCCTTCTCAGTTTTTTTTGTGTGTGTGTATGTTAACTGAAACTTTTGATGCTAAAAGACAACTTTACTTTTTTTCTATAATATTTTATTATAGAAATACTGTTTCTTTACCTCTGAGCTCTTGCCTTGTAGAGTAACATTGAGCTTGTTTTACTTTTGGTTATGATCATTAGATGACCATTTGGTGTAGACTCTTTGTGTGATAAATATTTTCCCCTAGATTCATTTTAAAAATTGTTATTTTTGTAGCGACAGATGCTTTTTGTTAAAAATATGTCTCCATCAAATTCAATTTTTGTTTAAAAACTTTTTTTTTCTCCCTGCAATTTCAAATATTTGAATTATTTAACTGTATTCATGGACACTATTTCAGAAGTAGAGGTGGCTATAGATTTTGATTCTGTCAGTTGTACACAATCTAAAGGAATTAATGGATGGGATAGCTGATGTCTCTGGTAAGAGATTAAATAGCATTACAATATACAGGATAAAATAATAGTCTAACAGAATAGGCTGTTACCTCTAAAATTATTTAACTATTTTATATAAACTGTAGCTAATCTAGCGAATATTTGTTGTGGCAGTGACTCACATGTTTGAGAAAATGTTTTCCCATTGACGTCTCATACTAAAAAAAGTGTGTGCAAGTAACTGGCAAACTATCTTGTAAAATGTTTCTGTGGTACAGATTTTAGGAGGAAATGTACTAAAAATTCTAAAACAAATATATATTGCTCTTGATAACGGAAATTTCTAAATCAGAAGTTGGTAGGAAGAGATATTTTTGATTAAAGTATGAACCTTAGATTTGAAGTCAAGAGATTCTGGCTCTAGTCCCTCTGCAAGTGCTAGCTGTGTGTTATTGGGCAATTACGTTTACTTTTCAACCCTTAGCATTCCCTTTTGTGAAGTGGATTGTGTGATGGACCTTTTAAGGAGCCCTCCTAGCTCTAATATCCTTTGATGAGTTTAAGATATTAAGCAACGTTCAGATTTGCTTTTTTTAAAAATTATATTTTATTGATTTTTTTACAGAGAGGAAGGGAGCGGGATAGAGAGTTAGAAACATCGATGAGAGAGAAACATCGATCAGCTGCCTCCTGCACATCCCCTACTGGGGATGTGCCCGCAACCAAGGTACATGCCTTTGACCGGAATTGAACCTGGGACCCTTGAGTCCTCAGGCTGACGCTCTATCCACTGAGCCAAACCGATTAGGGCTCAGATTTGCTTTTTAAGCTGCATTTTGTTTATAAAACACTCCTTAGGGTGAATAATTACCTATTTTATGGGACAATTTTGCAATATCACTAAAACTAAACTAAAGTTAAGAAGCAAGGTAATTATATAATTGTTCGAATAAGCACTTAGTTTTATATTGTCCAGCAAGTGCTTTGAGGATTGTCAGTAATGGTCCTCCAGAGGCGTGAAGTTTCGTTACTTCCTTTCCAGAAGCTTTTGTTCTTCTGGTTACAGACTGAAGAGGGATGGCAAGTTCATGTTCCTCCTTCCATTAATGCTTCTGCTTCCTAGGTTGTGATTTATTGACTCAGGTCATCCTGCTAAGGGCTAGTGGAAAGGAAATGTGTGAGG